GGGGAGAGTTTGGCTTTTGCAGACTCTGAGCTGGCCGATCCTGGCAGCCTCTTCAGAGTTTCCATCTTGCACCTTGGAGGGGCTGTCACTGGTTTGCCACCATTAAAAAAAACACACCCCAGTTTTATGTCGTCTTTTGTGAGCAAAGATTGCTTCCCTATGCCTGTGATGGGGTCATAGGCCTGGGTTCAGGTCACACGACAACCCATCACAGGTGCCAACACCCATACTACAACCCACGGGTTATGGGAGCCACTTTGCATGACACAGCAACGCACTGTAGCTTGTTTGCCATGTACGAAGGGTTCTCCTCTAGTGCAAACCAGCCACTGGGCACGAGCAGTGTGGTTCACGAGTGTGGCTGCACCATAGATGTGTATCAGGGTGGTTGGCGTTGGCAAGTTCTTTCCCTAACCCTTTCCTAATGTGGAACTGGCCTTTGTCTGAGACCCCGCACAGGGGGTCACTATTCCCACTGGACTGGCCCCACAAACCATGATCCTTTCCCCGCTTGCTCACTGCTAGCTCAGATTCAATCAACGTATACAGTGGTGCCTCGTAATTGAACTTAATTCTGAATTGTTCAAACCCGAAGAAATGTTCCTCAGTAGAAATAATGGAAAGTGATTAATCTGTTCCCAGACCCTAAACAAGACACATTTCAGCATTGAGAAAGATCAAAAAGGCACTGAGAACAGATCAAAAGCACTGAAAATGACTGAAAAGGCACCAGGAAAGATTGGAAAGGCACTGAAAATGAATCAAAAAAGCACTGAAACAGTTTTTTTCACTGCCTGCAGTTTGAACTTAGAAACATCATTCAACCTTTGGAACATTCATATTTTATCTGTGCTTGTTGTAAACCATCCTGAGACACTAGTTATGGGACAGTCTATAAAAGCTTTAAATGAATAAATAAATCTAGATTTTAGCATTCAAACTCTGAAACATTCAACATTTGAAGTTCTAGGAACCGCTGCATTTGATTTGATTTGATTTGATTTGATCTGATTTGATCTGATCTGATCTGATCTGAGGGGCTGGATTCTTTGCCCCAACTGGCATTACCTGCGCTTGCCTTCACAGAAGTGCATTTGCCATTTTGATGCACATCCCCCCAGTTTGGAGAGGAAAATAGTCAGGTTTCAAAATCTGAGACTGAGGGATAAACGACTTACTCTCTGGTAAGCGTAGCTGATCCTGGTTTTCATTTGAACTTTAGTACAAGAATGGAGTTGGGTGCCAGTTAAGAAGAGAGGGAAGTCACGGCAGGGGGGAAGGTTTAATCCCCACTCCCCCCATGTGGTCCCAAGCTGGACTGAACTCCCACAGATTTACACAGAAGAGCTGTTGAGGATCAGCTACAGGCTGCGTGCAGATAACGTTGCCTGGAGCTGGCCTTGGGAAGAAGGGATTTTCTCGAAAAGGTGGCACCCGGGGCTTGCGGTCTGCCACATCCTCTGATCGAGAAACAAAATCCTTGCAGAGTTGGGAAGGAAAGCCCCGTGGTTGGAGTGGCAGAGGGCAAGAGGACTGGAGCATCGCCGTGTTGGCCTGCATGTGCTCCACTTAGTGGGGCGTTGAGAAGGCTGGCACATGGGAGATGGTGTCACGGGCAGGGCGGGCTGCAGCAGCTGCTGGCATTCAAAACGGTTGCCCAGGTCCACAGTGCAACGCTCGCCTCTGTTACCTGCTCGCTGCCTGCATTGTGGCGTCCCGAGGGCGAGCGCAAGGAGTGGCAGCCAGCCTTCACTCCGGGTAGTTGTGGGGATGGGGGCCAAGAAATGGGAAGCCCCCAGGGGGTGGGCAGAGTGCCTCACCCCCTGAAAACTTGGAGCTGGCATAGCTTGCAGGCTGGAGAACATAGAGGACCCAGGACCTGTGGGGCAGAGCAGGAAGGCGGCCAGATAGAGGAAGCATTCGGAGGTGCAGTGGAAGCCAGCCAGCCAGCCAGCCAGCACCGAGCGCAGTTCGCCAGGAAGTCCTTGGCACAAGTCCCGTGGCGGTGGATGGCGCCTGCGCGACGACGTGCCCCCTTCTGAAGGGAGGTCTGTTTCCCTACTCTGGCCAAGCGCGTGCTCCCGACCGCCTCCTCTTGCATGGTTTCCAGCGGAGTCACTGGCCAGCCCCCAAAGCCTCTTTGATGGGCACAGCACGGCTAGGTTCATACGTCCTACGATGCCATGCTGGGCTGTCGAGTCATCCGGACCCAGCTGTGGCATTCCTGCACAGAGCCTTTATTTTCCCAGAGCAGCCATAACTGGCCTGTTCCAAGCTTTCCATCTTTCACCATGGCTTCTCTGGTCATCTAGATCCACAATCTCTATTTCACCATTGCTGGTATGGAAACACCAGAGAGTCCTGTGGAAAGAGCGGCTGCTGAAGTGTCCACTCGGTCATTCATTCTCTACTACCCTCGGAGCCCCAGCATCATATGTGTTATCACCTGCTTTATTCCTATTGGCCAGGTAGGTAATCCACCCATCTCCCTGTTTCCTTTAGAATCAGGGAGAAAGTGGGTAAATTCAGAGGGAGAAGGCAGGTTTTGTGGCAAAAGTGTTTATTATGATGTGATAAATATTTTATTTGGGGGCTGGAGAGGCTAGGAGGCATTGTGGAGATGCAAATACACTGGGTGAAGGTGCGGGGGAGAGACCCGCCTTAAAACTTCAGTGGGCCAATCAGGAAAAGAGGGGGCAACAGAGTGAGGAAGGAGTTGCTTACAGGGGCTCCTGGGAGGTGTGTGAGTGGGAGGGCAGAGTGGGGAGCATGAAAATGGCAACAATCAGACTGGAAAGCCGGGCAAACGTCTGTACAGCAAGGAAACTGTAGAGGGTTGTTTTCCATGATGTGTGAACCCGGCCAAGAACAACCCAGAATATGGGTTGTCATTCCATGCATATCCTCACAATGTTATAAAAATGTGTTAATTATGAACAGCTCAGGAAAAGACTTTATGGTTTGTTGTTGGGCTGTTCACCAAATTAAACCTTAACGCATGGTTTGCACATAACGACAACCTATAGTTCACCACCAACAAACCACGATTCAATGACAACTCTTATTCAGCCCATACTGTGGGCTGTCATTACGTAAAAGCAAGTACGCAAGCAAGTATACGTGCACTTGTATGCAAGCTTTCAGAAAGGGACATGCTCTAAAAATAATGAAAGGCATATGCATTTTATAAATACTGGTTTTAGCATTACGTGTTATTTGAGGTGGGAAGGGGCTACCCAAGTTACTCATTACATTTTTATTCCAGTCTTCCCCCAAGGTGGTACCAATTTAATTCTGGTGATCTAAGTTACTTGGTGGGGGCAGTTGCTGAGTTCTTGGCTAAGTGGGGAGTCAAAGCTGGGACTCCCCAGCCTGCATCTGGCACCATACCTACAGGGGCCCCTGTTTCACCAAGAGAGGTTTAATTCCAGGTGGGATTTAACCTAGCCTCCCTGCCCACCTTAAAAAGGTTAGCAGATTCCTTGATTTGTCTTCTTGCGTTTTTCTCCTCTGGCATGTAGTTTACGCCTAACACTTCTCAGGCTGCAAAGCTCAGAAAGAACCTGGCATTTTCTGGCACCGGACTCGTCCGGGTCGTGGTGTCACATGCCCCGGTGTGGCCGACCACTGATGAAGGAAGCAGCAAGGGGGTTTGCCTGCTTTCCTTGGCTGGCTGCCCTCTTCCAGGGCACTCCGCTTGGAGCCCGAGGGAGAGGAGCTGAGGCTGAGGTGAGAAAGCAAGAGAGAGGGGAGTGCATCTCTCCAGCAAAGAGGAGCAGACAGGAAAGGAAATCTCTCGGCGATAATTCATTGTCTCAGGAAGCCAGGAATGGGCAAGCCCGCCTTCTGTGTGCACGCTGGAGGAGATGTCTTGACCTCTTAAAACCGTAGGTAAACCCCAGCCGGTGGGTTTCTGCTGCACTCAGGCTGGAATGGATCCGGTGAAACCCACGTGGATTTGGAGGCCTCTTCTCTTCCCTGCTTGCAAGAAGAGAGTTCATTTTTTTCCAGGGCTGGTGGAAAAACAAGAAAAACACACACCTTCCTCCTGAGGAAACACACTGTCATGCAGCTGATGGAAGCAAAGTGAGAGTCCCTCTTTTTGAGCGGAGTTCTAGAGAGCAGTTTTCAGCAGGGGGAATTTCATGGCTAGGGAGAGTCCAGCCTGTCCCTCCACCAGCCACCACGGTGCATCTTCTTCCACTGGAAGACTGGTGGGCCGTGCCAGAATGGCGGCCTGGCATTCTGGAAAGTGAGAGCTGGTCCAGCCAGGGCACCTCATTTAGACCTGAGGCTGCACACGAGGGCATTCTGGGCCCCCCACAGTACCCCACTCCAATGTAATGCCCTACATGCGTGCGGCAGCGAGCATCTATAGGAAAGGGCTTGTGGCTCAGAGCAGATTGTGGCTTTGCCTGAAGAAGGCTCCGATTCGAGCTCTAACATTGCCAGTCATAGAATCATAGAGGAGTCCACCCCCTGTTGTGGCCGGACACTAAATTACACCATCCCACTCAGATGACTGTCCAGATGCTTACTGAATGTCTCCAGCAAGGGAGAGTCCACCAGGTAATCCGTTCCATTGTCATAGTGCGCTGACAGTGATGAATTTTTTCCCTGGTGTCCAGGCTGACTCCAGTTTCTTTTCATTTAAGTCTGCTATTCCATGTCCTGCATTCTGGAATGAACAAGAAGCGACCTCGTCCTTCCCCTTCGTGACAGCCTTCCAGGTGCTTGAGGAGGGCTGTCATTCCCCCTCAGTCTTCTCTTCCTGAGGCTGAAGATGCCCG